GAACTAAAGAGCCGATGGATGCCTCTGGAAATCCAGAGGTTAAGAGGGTATATATTGCCAGGGTTTGAGCTGGGTATTATTGTTGGATCCAAAAACTGGTTGGGATAGGTTATTGTTATTGTGGGCTGGGTAATAATCCTGAAGGATTATGATTAATGGGCCAGGTTGGTTCCGAAAATTGGGTGAATTTGGTCTGAAATTTAATGGAATTGACTCATTTTTTTTAATGTGAATAAAATATAATTATATACATTTTAAATGGGGTGATCGATTAGGTTTAAATGGCCTATAAAAATGCCATTTTTTCTCTTGAATACTTAATTTTGTTTTAATAGTATGTAAATTTATCTAAAAAATTGATTGTGCTTAAATCATCATAAATATTTGATAGTCCCTATAAACTTAAGCCGGAAAATCATTTCAAATAATTATAATGTATGATATATATATAAAAATTGTACTATCTTCGTCCCAAATTAATTTGTCATCACATAAATTTGAACCATGATTTGATTGGTACGATATTATGAAAGTTATAAATTTTATACTTTTATGAAAATATTTTTAAGACATAACATTTTCATATTTGGATTATGTGTGGTAGATAAAAAATGCATTATGTATATGCTGGGTTTGGTTTTTACAAATTGAAATGGGCTAACAATCAGTGTTTACGCATGACCAATTGTATGTTGCAGTACCCAAAGTGACAGATCATAAGAGTTTGAAAATATTGGTATGCGGTGAAGAGGGGAAAAGACCAACAGTACTACAAATGTTGTTTACAATGAAGTGCTTAGAAATCTTATTATATGTTTCATTTCTCCCTTCTTATTCGAAGATATAAATCTCACCAATTATATGTGATAACCATACTTTCTTTTATAATTATTATTTACTCTGTAATATTTATATATATTACATGTGTACGCTTTGTATCATTTACCCATAAACCATTCACTAATAATGTTAATAAATATTATCATATAACTCTACGATAATATAGCCCGTGCATCGCATGGGTGAAAATCTAGTCATTCATAAAAACGAAACACCATGCATCGCATGGGTGAAAATCTAGTCATTCATAAAAACAAAACAGATAAATCTCCACCCCGTACCCGATCAATACGATTTCCCCTATTTTGATCGGGGCGGTTCAATGCACGTATTATGAATCAATCACAATTGCATGTAAATATGTACTACGTAATATATATCTCAATTTTATCAAATGCATGTTCTAAAACGCGCAGAAAGGCGTGCCTAAGCGTGATGCAACAGGCGAACACCTCACTTGGCTTAGATGCATGCTAACGTGTGGCAGGCGAACGCCTCACAAGGCGTCCAAACTAGTTGGACCCTAAAGATAGTAAATTTTGGACTAGGTGAGGAGGGCCTTCCAGCTAACGTGCTAGCTTGCAAGGACTCCCAATTACATACGACTACTTCGCTGTATCAATTTATAAAGTTTTTGAAGGAGCTATTCGCCCGTTTCTTTCGGTGTGGGATCATTTGCAAGGATAATGGAGGCTCGAAGTCAATTCAATACTAATTAGCTACAAAATTTCCATTTACTATAATTATTACTCCGTATTACTATTATTATTTTATCAATTTGTTTTTCAATTCTTTGATTTTTGTAGCCTTAAAAAAAATCTTGTTTTTTGTAGCAAGTAAACCTACTATTTGTGTTGAGAAATTTATTTATATTGATAGTTTGAAGTGTGATTTCTTATGTGTGATATTATCTAATATTACACCGTTCTTAAATAAGTGCAAATGTTGAATTTTAGACTATTCATACTATACTTTGACTACATTTTATTTATGTATTAATATTTTTTGAAAACAAATATTGTTAAAGATGTCTCATTGAAATTTGAGTTTCTTTTAATTTTTTACTAATAGAGATTATACATATTAATAGTCAAAATTGTGCATCAACAAATTTGAATAGGTGACCGTTGCACTTATTTAAGAATGTGAAAGTATACAATTTACATATTAATTATTATGTAATGAAATTTTTCCTAAAATACTATTAAAATCAAATTTATTGATGAAATTATGACTAAAGTTACTATTAGTATAACATTATGACATTATAATCATTTAAATATAAAAATGTAACATAAAAGTGGTCACCAAAAATTGATACTATAACCACTACACTTAAGGAGTAACTAATTCTTAAGTAATAGCCCTAGAAAAATTAAAATAATGGGTGAAAATGTAAAGGGAAATTTCACAAATAAACCAAAACGTGAAAAAAAATATCAATATTGTCACCGCCGGATGTTGTTTTAAAAAAATAATCTAGTTTAAACTTTCTTTTCAATAATAGACCACACACTACGCACACCTACGGAAAGAAGAAAACAAAGAGGACAGCGGCTAAAAAGCACCCGAAGAGCAACTATCAATCGTCTACCTAACCTTTTCGGCGATTAGATTCAATTTGGCTCAAAACAGAGCAATATACATATACATGCATGCGTTATGCGTATATATTAGCATCCTCAATGGTGAAATGAAGCATTTGTTTATAAATTATTAAGCAATTTATAATTCATAAAATACTCCGTAAGTCCGTATGTTACATCTTAATTTTACATTTCTCTTTTTTCCTTTTTCCTTTGCAGATAAGTTAGATTGATAATTCATAAGTAAATCTTATGAAGCTTATTTAAAATTTTCAAACAATAACTATTTTTGAAGTGTAAAAAAGGTAAGAATGAAAACATTATTGCAAGAAAATTTCCAGAAATGCAACATAAATCTTTAAAACGTTTAAAATGTATACCTTACCCTATATATACAATAGTCGTTTTATACCTTAGCACAATACCCTATTAAAGGTGTCAATGACACAATAGTCGGGAGACCAAATGGAAAAAACTCTAGTAACCGCACCTCTCCAAGCAGGCAAATGCCCCAAGTAGTTTTATACGTACGTAGAGCTATATGATACTCCGTAACATAATTACGCAAGTCAATTATACAACTACCAAGATAATATGTCATTACAAAAAGTTATTTAATTAGTACCTACTATACTATAGTACTATCTATAACAAAAAGTTATTGATATCATTTTACTTCCCAATATAAGTGAAACATACTCATATTATTTTTTAAGATTTTGTGATAAGTATAGTTTTGTTCATATGTATTTTTAAATGTATGTAATATATTTCAATATGATTTCTAGACAGAAAATTATTTTAGAAAATTAACAAAATAAATATCAAATAACGCTATCAACTTAAGTGGAACTAAAACTCGAGTTTAAATATTGTGTGTATTTTTCAGTGTATACCAAATTTGAACAATATTTCATTATTGTGAAGACTAATTAGCTTTTATTGTAATTTTGTATTGATATATGTTAAGTACTATAAAGTTTTATAAAAGTTGACCGGGTTTTCCGGTGTTGACCGGGTTAACCCGTCGGGTTCGGGTTGACCCGTGACCTAGTCACTCGTCCGGGTTGATTACTAGTCCAGTTTTTACAACATTGCTCCTAGTGCCAATGGCATGTCTATAAATTTGATTAAACTCATTAAGCTTACATCATAATATTATCATACAACTTATTGAAATAAATATTATTAAAAAATAATAATTTATTAAATATTGGGGTAAAATCATAAATCGTTTTTAAACTATTTTCACCCTATCGTTTTGATTGCCAGACTAATAAATCTATCACTTTAATCCATTTTTTTTCCCATTTTAAAAAAACAAATAATAGCTTTATTCATAGGATAGGCCCTTAACAATTCAATAATACAAATAAGTGGTGTGGCCTACCAAGTACAGTCAGAGTCATATATTGTGTATGTGTGGTAGACATGAATCCTTATTTCTAATTTTGGTACTCAAAGTCTCTAAAAGACTGGTTATAAGTTTGATACAAGAATTTTTAAGCTCTTTTTCCAAAATAAAAGATCCTTTTTGAAAACTACATTGAGCAGCTTTTACGTAACTTTTAGCATTAATTAGTCACAACAACTTGTATGTTAAACAAAACTAAATCAAACAGAAGCTTTTTATCAAACAACTACCGCTTTTTTCTTTTAAGGTCTTTTCAATCGTTAAAAACTAATAGTTATTAAAAAGTTCATAAAAGTATTTTTTCAGCTAGTTAACATATCTTGTCTTGTTGAATAATGTGCAACATTGTTCACCGGTCATCGCACATATTGAACAAAAAAAAATCTAGTGAAAGACGCTATCATGTGTCCTCATATCATCAAACAAAGTTGTATTGTAAGAACAACCCCAAGTTCATAATGTCATGGACGTACTACCTATTGTAAGCCGAATTCAATAATGACATTCATCCACCCGCACTCCTCCAGCCATTTCACTGCCTGGTAAATAGCCAAGCTTTTGGTATTGCTCGCTGGAATATCTCCTAACCATCTCCGTCTTCTACCTCCAAGAAACCTCCCACGAGCATCATGTGCAACTATGATGATAGGAGTAATAACAACAAGGATAGGAGGAGAAGTAATACCAACACTAGTAATAATAATACTTATTGTTGAAGTTTATTCCCGAAGATCCGAAAGCCCAACACAAGCTTTGGATATTGTAGGGATGTTGGGTTGGTTTAAAGAATATAGAAAATATAAAACAGTGAGATATTATCCAACTCAGGAGCCCACTTGTATTCAATAATTCCGTGATTACACCGAGATTACCCGAACGGTAGGTAAGTACCAGAATACAAGAATAAGAGAAGTGTTTCAACTTGCTAAGCTCTGAGTATTAAAATGCTAACCCTTTACAATGTATTCAATGCAGGTATTTATACTAAAATGGGGATGAGAAAGCTGGACACGTGGCTGAATATGGTAGGTTATGCCCCCCGCCACATATGCACCCATGCCTCCACTTGCTGCTGCCATGTTTCAGCCCATGCCTCCACTTGCTGCTGCCATGTTTCAGCATTAAATGCAGCCTCCATTTGCTGACTACCCGTTCGGGTAGGGTGTTCGATATTGGAATATCCCGTTATTGTTTATCTTGATAGTTAATACCCCGAACGCCGATCAGTGTGCGGCACCCTGTCAAGAATGCGGGTATAGTTATTACCCGAAATGTTCTAAGTGTAGGTAATGTGCCGAACGCCGAACGGGTCTGGACTGCTCTGGGCCTTCTGTTTCCTCCTGGTTTCCCATACTTTGGGCCGGGGATATTGGGCCCGGACCCAATATCCTAACACTAGTCCCCCACTTCCTATGTCTCGAACGGTAGTGAGTGCATAAGGAAGTAGAAGATTATTGCCCGAATGCTGTTCGGGTATGTATCGGATGGTATTCCGCCAGTTCCCGAGGTATATTTTGACGGTTTTATGCGGCTGCCGTTTCAATACCGTGCTCCAGAGGTTGAGTCACATCTATAGCCTCCCCATATGTCACAATGTATCAATTCAAAGCAGCGAGTTGTCTTAATGGAGCTGGTAGGGAATGGTAGTCTGGTCTGCTTAGCACGGATGCATGGATCACAAAAATTATCACTCCGTCGAAAACCCTTGAGAGAATTAATATGATTTAATTTTCCATCAGATGCATGTCCCAACCGTTGATGCCATATATCAGAACTAACAGACACAGACATTGCCATCCTTTCACTTTTTGGAGACTCCAAGTAATAAAGACCACCACGGAATTTACCCACGCCAATTAGCTTCCTCGATGGTACGTCTTGCAAAATACAAAAGTCCGAAAAAAATGTCAGTGTGCAATTCAGATCACTTGTTAAGCGACTAGCTGAGAGTAAGTTGCACTGGAATTTTGAAATATATAGAACACGTTCAAGACGGAGCCCATTGAGTAAGTATAAACTTCCGACAGCATGAACCTGAATGGATTCACCGTTAGGAATTGTGACTGATGACACATGATTGACGATATTAAAAAGATTAGTATCACTACAAGTGATATGCTCAGTAGCTCCAGAATCAATTATCATGGCAGGCACGACCATGCCTGACTGGCAGTAGCTCCACGTTGTTTCCTTCAGCCCCGCCTGACTTCGGGTGCACAGCGTGCCTTCTTTCTTTCCGAATTTGACGATGCTTCCTTCATAAAGGTTGTAGATAATGAAGTCCGCTATCCGCCACAACTTGAAAAACTCTATTTGAATCATTCAATAAAAAGATATGAATACAATGGTGGAATGTCGCATTCTGAAATCTCAATAGCAATTCTGACTCCCCCGTCTGTTTTCACCTTGCTCCTATAAAAATCCCGCAATGGTGTCTTCATATGATTTGTAGCCCTTGAAGTTAGATTTCATATGGAACTTGAATCACGTTCTTTGGATGTCGCTACAAAACGATATGCTTGAACTATTGACAAAACGTCACCCTGATCGCCGTTTTCAAGCTCCATGCGTCTTTTTTTTTGTTTTTTTTATCCCGTAGCCAATTCTAGAGCCCTTTTGTCATCAAATCTTCATCGTAAACCTCCCGGTGACATCCAAAGCTCTCAATTCTCTCTCGAATTCATCTGGACTCGTCCCAATTTCTTCTCAAGCACCGGTGTCGGGCTCAAATTCCCTGATTTTGACTCCAAAAATACCAAAACTCGAATCAGCGCCTGGTAAACATAACTTGAGGTAAAATTGAGACTCGTGACACCTTAAAGCTAAGGAAACCATCAAAATCCGATCCCAACATGCATCAAATGCGTGTCAAAATACGAACTTATTAATCATATAATGAAGACTTACCAACGTCATCCAAGGCTTTGTCGCCTTCACCTTCATCCAAACCTTCAACAACTTCATTTGAACTCCAATCCATTCAATAGCTCCCGGCACATGAGTGTGCACCTTCATCACCTACTCTCCCCATGTCAAGCTATAAAAAATTAACTCATTCCCTAAACTCGCATGTATCCTTCCCGCTGAACTCCATTCAAGAAGATGGAAGGATGGATGATAAAATTGATATTAATTTAGGTTGGAGAAATAAGGCTCACTGGGAGCATGAGTATGAACAAATCAAAATGAGAAAATAACTCTTCTCTCTTATTATTCCACATACCATCCGTATGTGTATTATATAATACAAGGTGGGAATAGGGCTACTATTGCATGGGCCACGCATATATAAACCCAATAATGTAGCATACGTAAATATATAGTATAATCTAATACTAAATTATTACAATATTAAAATATCATATTTCCAATTAAGATGATAACCTATCTTCTTGCTGCACTGTAGCTCCAAACTCCGAAAAAAAGACAAGGAGGGAAACGTGGCTCAAGACACAGAGGATAGAAGTAGAGTGGAGAGAAGGCTGGGGGATAAAAGATGTTAAGATTGAAGCTTTTTATTGGTGCGTCAAAGGTGTACACATTTTGTGTACACCTAACAATTTTTCGTGACATTCATATACATTTTTTTAAAGGTTAGAATACATTGTAATTCCTGCAAATACGACACACTTTGATTGGGTCCCTGTAATTTTTTCCTGTTTTTTGTTTTTTCCCATCCAAGTAATATGCTTTTTTTTGTTTTTAGTCCATCGCTAACTTGAAATCACTCCATTTAGAAGAAAGAAAATATTGCCAGTTACATAATTTCACTAATTTTTTTTAATTATCTTAAGAGTTTTTTGAGGCAAATATGAGAGTCAAAATAATGTAAAAAAATTATTCATAGTTTAGGAATATGTATTAAAAACCATTCAAAAAATTAAAAAGAATTAGAAGAACCCTATTAGTCGGGATTGTTATCATTAATAATGAACTAAAAAACCAACTTAAATTTCAGAGATAAAAAGCAAAAAATAATTTCATATTGTAACTATATTTAAACACTAATGTTATTTGTACACGTCATTTGTACACAACATTTTACACGCCTATCAAATTGTGCTTGCGTTATATTTAGGGAAAAGTACTAAATCAGCTCTCAAACTAACACTGATAGTGTAAATCACCATCTAAACTAAAAAACGCTTCAATGAAAACCTCCAAGTATGTGATAAAGTGCAAATCACCCATTCAACTAAAAAAACCGCAATCAAAAGCTCCAACTCGACAATATAGTGTAAATTGCTTTCCTAATTTGTAATTTATTGGTTAAAGCTGATGCATGCCATTTATTAAAAAATTGTCCACATAAGATTCATTTATCCACTTTATACAAACAACAAACTATACACATTAAAAATGAAATGTAAATTTATTTGAGCACTGAATTGACTTGTACAATCACAAAAAATATTTAAGCAACAATAAAGAAGGTCTACATGGATCTCCTAGTCTACATTTTCTTCAGGAAGTGGCAAGACAGTGTTAGGTTTAGTTCTTGAGTTTGTTGATGAGTCTTCAGCCAATAGTGGAAACACTTAAGCGTCTTCAGAGATTGTGTGTTCAACCTTGTTCTATAAGCAGTTAATAAAAGGTTTAAGTGAGATATATTGAAGTTAATAAATGAATCTTATGAATCTTATAAACAGTTAATAAAAAGTTTAAGTGAGATATATTGAAGTTAATAAATGAATCTTAATCGGTAAATTACAACTTAGGAAAGTTATTTGTGCTATATCGCCAAGTTAGAGAATTTTTTATTGCAGTTTTTTAGTTGAAGAGGTGATTTACACTTTACCCCAACTTGAAGGGTTTAATTAGAGTTTTTTTTTTTTTTTTTTTTAGGGGTGAATATCTGTATTAGTTTTAGGGTTGATTTTGTACTTTTTCCCTTGTATTTAAACTCCTTTTTGAATTAATACGTTGTACCAAGTATAGACTCACAGACCCTGCAAACCTGCATCGCATCCTACGAGGGTTGTTGGAAGTTAACGACGGCCGTCTCTGGAGTGAAAAAGTGTGTAGTGTTGACGTCCGGATTGGCCGCCAGCCCTAGGTGTCGGAGAATCTCCAAAGCTGTCCTCATCCTCCATTACCATTCTCCCTCACCAAGCTCAGTGTCCTGCCCCCCGAACCCGTGCGTTTGTAGATTCTTTCATCCTTCACATACCATCAGTATTCAGAAAATTAAACGAAAATGGCATGACCAAGATCACTGGTTATACTTACAAGTTGGGTTTAGAACAGCGTGCTTCGGAAAGAATGCGATTTCAGGTTCATCGTGCATTGAAGTTTGCCCCCATTTCTCGCAACTTCTACGCTCCTGCTCACAGCGAACCTCACCATCCTTTTCATGCCCCCCTCGAAGGAGCTGAGACGGTTTGGTTCGCCAAAGCGATTTGCATACTTTGCGTTCGCCATTCATCTAGTCTTGATGTCTTGGGCTGTGATTATTTCCGTCAAAATCTGAATTCGCTGATTGCTTTTGACGTAATCGAACACATTAGTGGTAAATTGAATAACCCCACGTTGGCATTTAGCTTCTTCCAATTCGCGAGACTCAATTTGAATATTGTCCATTCAGTTTCTAGCTTCCGATTGCTGCTTATGTCTCACTGCGAAATAGGTCTCCATCATACAGTTAAGTTATTGTTTAATCACATGAGAATGGATGGGTATTTCCCAGACAGGTCAATTGTAGAATTTGTAGTATTGACACTTGCAAATGCAGGCAGCATTGAGGTTGCCAAGGAGATTTTGATTTCCGAAT